GTATTTTTAAAGGTAAACTTCGACATCACGAACTTTCATGAGAGAAAAGTCGTGTTAACACACGCAATAACCTATGGAAGTAAAGAAAGGAACATCAAACACTCGATGATCTGAAAAGTCACGTGATTAGATACAGTCAATTCCAAGTGTAGTGGAGAGTAATATCTAGGAGTCTGCTTTGATCTGCATCTTAGATGGTGTGTTCATGCTTCACACTGTGTAACGAGGTTTTATTTGATCCGAATTTTCATTAAAATTTTTTTACTAGAAACAATGAATTTGTATTGGTCGAGACGGTGTAAGTCAAGGAAAGTAGTAGGAATCCTAATTGTATAATGTAATTGTAATCTCCCTTCGGAGAGAACCGCAACAGTCACGCAATTGGTAATGAGCCAAGAGACAATTTGTGCCGAACCGTGACCTTCACTTACAAAGAATGCTTTCCGGTTTAGAAACTATCACCGTAAATACGAACAATAGTGAAAATTTTAACCCATAAAGATTAAAACGGCCCGACCCCATTTTTTCTTGTGCATGTGCGAACCTATCTAGAGGAAATTACAATTTTTACTTTGCATTTAATAATAATTCTGTTATATTGAGCTAGCCGACGGCATACATTTTTTTTTATTTCAATGGTAATTTTGTACAACTGTTTTGATCAAAACAGTGTTACAATTAAAGTCATATGCTTTTAGTAACTTTTAGTATCTGTAGTTGACAGTTTCCACAGAAACGCACCTATATTTTTGAACCTCAAATCAGTTAAATTTCAAATCAAATTGCAGAAATTATTATAAAAGGATGCATGATGTGTATTTATTAAATAACCATTTGCGTATAGAATTGTCATTGGTGGATAGTTGTATTTCATTGTGAAATTAAGCAATGTATCCTAGAAAGATAGATAAATTTGTAATAAAAGTATCATAATATGTAGATATTTATGGTACAAGAGTATTACTGTAAAAAAGTAACATTATTTTAAAATCAGAATTTTAACTACCTGTAACTAAAAAATGATTTTCCTGTGTCATGTAATAAATCCATAATTACATATGTATGGGAGGGGGGGGGGGGCATCGCATCGTACATTAATCAAATTATTGTAGTACCAAATTAATCGTCAAAGCTATGTTACAGTACTGTACAGTGCTACAGTAATCTAGTTTTTCAAGAATCTCAGTTATTTTTATTGGCATTGCTAACTATTTATATATTTAAAAATGAACAGCAAACTCGAATTACCCATACATAGAATTACTCCACCAGATGGAAAGTATCCAAGTGTAATTTACCGCTTACAAAGAGAAACAAGTTAAAAAGTCATTATCCAAACGTAAATGACGAGATCGTATTTTCCTCCTAATAATGTTACCGTTCTTTTTTCAAATGAACCGCGGCATATCGTCAAAGTCTATTAAGTTTCACACAAAGTCGTACTACGTGTCTGTTTTTCATATAGGTTAATTAAGAAATTAAGAAGTATTGACAAATACAATGTCAACTGTAAAATAAGTTATTTTACTATACGTATTATATCAAGTTTTGAAATACTTTTTCTCACAGTTGGGATACTACTTAATAGTGGAGCGTATACAAATATAAGAAAGTTGGCACTGCGCATGCGCAGAACAATATTTTGACAACGTGGTTAGTTTCACTTATATTCGTAGTGTTTACATATCTCCATAAATAAAAAAGTTAGCATTGCACATACCTACGTTAAACCAATTTTTTGACATTGCGCATGCGCAAAACCAAAAATATCGGTACGCACGGGATCCTTGCACTAAACGATATGCTTGTCTGTCCTAGTAACATCTGTGGTAAAAATTTCAAAAAAATATCTCTATAAATAAGATAGCGTATCTAATTTTTATAATACGCGATATGCTTATCTTTACTAGAAGTATCTGTGGTTAAAATTTCCAAAAAATATCTCGATAAATAAGAAAGTGGATATTGCGCCGTCTGCCTCTACTTGGATTAAAATGGATTCAAAAGGTGGTAGCTTTATAAGCTTTCGAATCAAGCAACAGGTACAAATAATTTGTTAAAAATATATGTGGTTACCTAAAATGTATAAAATTAACTTCTTGGACATTAAAATAATGCGTTTTTACGTTTTCCCAACGAAATTGATGATGGGTGAAGAACACTTAACATCTTTTGATAAAAATACGCATACTCTGGGCCATGTTCATGTGGTTCTAGTTAACAAAGTTAAAACAAATCGAGTGTCTGAATTCTTTGGTTTTAACTAAACTTACTGTGCACCTATTAAATACTCATATAAAGTATTTGTTATATTACAGTCCTCTATTACACTTTAATGTCTCACTAATGTTGTCGTAAACTACCTAAGTTGCATCGCTTACGGGTATACGAATTACGAATGGTTATTCTCACTCTTATCTTTTTGAACAATTTAAGAACTAAGGGTGTCAAGAGTTTACCGTTTTTGATGGTGCATAATTCGCCTAGTAATAACCGCAGTTCCAATATAAAATACATTTTCCTTGCTCATCATCCAAAAGTGTTTTCACTACAGATATCGGATAAATGATACAAAGGTTAATTAAAAGCTAATTTTAGAGCTATAGCCTGACATTGCTCATTATATGGCTAAAGCTATGCTCATCAATTTCACGTAGTTCGGTTCATAACTAACGGACATGTGAAAAGGGCCTTCCTTATTTGTTCGTCTACATTGTCAATTCATAAACCTGCAAAATTTCATCGTCATCGGTCCATTCGTTTTCGAGATATCTTACTAACGGACAGACGGACAGACATCGCAAAGTTATGAACTCGCTAGGAGCTCGTTAATAAAAGAACTAAGGCAATAATTAAAAGATGAAAAAACAAACGAAACAATTCTTACTTAGAATGACACGTTGTCATAAGAGACCCAACTTTTTGAAACTTGTAGTCCTGCCTCTATAATCAAGCGAATAAACATACTTGTCCTAGACTGTAATTCGAGTGTAACTACTTAAATACATGTCGCTGATTAACTATCAGATTAGTCATCTTTCTTTGAATATCTGAATGCATAAATGTATGTTTGATTGTGATTGGTTTAATTTACCACTCTTCTGGTAGGTAAATAATGATGACCAGTATGGAAAATCGCCCCGAAGATATGAATATGTCCCATTACGCAAGTTATCAATCTTGCAACCAATATCCTTTCCGCATTGTATACTTGAGATTCCAGCAGAGAAGTTAATTGATTTATTTGTTATACAGGTTTGCGTAACGTATCTCATCGCATTACGCCCTGCAATAAAATTGATTTTACTTATATTACCAACGTTAGGTAAGTTAAGAGAGAATGTAAGCCGTATTGTATGTCGTCGGAAACGTTATGTAAACAAGATACGGGAATCGCATACGATTTTCAGATCTTGGGGAATTTTTTGACACTTAGATCGCATTCGGAAATACGACTTTTAATCCGGCTCTCATGTTCAATAGCACTGGTTCTTGAACACGTAGAAATCGATTGGCGAAACTTTGATATCGCTGTCTTTTTTCGTTTTCAAGTTAGACGGGCGGACAAAAACATCATATAAGGGGAATTTTTTTCTTTCGGAAAATTCCCCTAAAACAATCATTCGCTAATAAATAAATAAACACTCGTAGGCGAATGAAATGACACCCCATCTTCCTCTCACCACCCTATTTTATAAAGGGTTCATACTAGAACAAATATCGCTTTTCGTGCGTTCCCAATGTGAAGGTAAAAAACAGTTAGTGATGAATTAAAAATTATCAAAGGCCTTGTGTGAGATATAAGTAACTTCAGTGCATTTTAATTATGTGACAGATCAGTATTTGGTTAGCCAGTTTTGAATCATCTTGTCGAAGGCTACCACATTCCCTTGGTCGGTATCCACTTTCGACGTTCCGTTCATCCACAATTCGCGTTTTGGTGGATTTCACTAAAAATCCTCCACAAAATAGTACTCAGCACTTGTCATAGCTCGAGCTTCTATTGGCGAGACGAGAAAGAAAAACCACGACTCCATTGTTAGGTACGGCTGTGAGATTTCGACTAAAATTTCATCCAAAATGATGCACACATTGAAAATATATTAATAAGTTTAGGTTCGCGCACGCAACGGAAGAATATTTCCGATGCTCATTTTCCCTTTTACGAAATTAAACTGTGGCAATTATTTTTGGAAACATCTATAGGCAGAGTCCTTCTCGCTGTGTAAGCCAATTAGTTTCAAGATAAGCACGTGTTATCGTCGAAGTAAGTCGATGAATGATTTTGAAGACGCAGTATTTTGTTAAGGAAGAGGCGAGGGGTAAATGGTTCTAAATGGAAATATTGTTATATGCTATAAAACACATACGGTTCAGTGTCCGCAGAACTACGTCGAACGCATCCATGTCCAAGAAAGTTTTGAAAACAGGTATTCATCTCTCAGATCCAATTTTCCGTTATCTATGGGTCAGTTTTGAAGGTACCGCTTCTACATTCGAAGACGCGTACGAGTCCATCTCTCCAAAGAAAATTCTTTATGAAGTAGGTACATACTGTGTGCAAAATTAAGAGTTGATTCGCTTTAACAAAATTGCGTAAGATATTTTATTGACCTTAGTAAATAAAAAAATGTTCTGCTACAGATAAGGTGTTGTTATACCTTACCTTTTATAGTTTATGATTTATTTGCGTTCTATAAACAACTGTTGTTGGTATAAGAAATGAATAGCGGCTTTGACATCTGTCTGACAACATTATTTTCCTCTTTTAATATCTATATAAATAATTAATAGTTTAGATTTTGATATGATACTATTTTGTTTATGTAAATATATCTGATTATTTTCCTTTTTCAAATTATAGCATTCAGTGCCAGTTTTAATTATGCTTATAAACATTTTAGTGTTTTTTTACCAAATTGTTGTAGTAAATTGTATTAAATGACATAAACCAGATTGCGCTATTATCATTTGTTTATTTAACTCATAATAATAACAGGCTCGCTATTCAACATCCAACGACGTTTTACGGCATAATTGAGTCAGGATCACTTACTTTAACCTGGTCATAACTGGAACGAACTGGTTGATGCAGAGACAGATTTACACTTTTTTTCGCCTAAGGGCTATGCCAGTTATGCCCTTACCTTCCCCAAAAGACTATCGAACAGCGAAATAAAATAGTGGTAGTTCCATTTCGAAAAATATGACTATGAAATTCAGAAACTTTATTTCCTTGTGAACACCTAGTATCACTATATTCAACTTACTCATTACCATTACTCGGATTAACATTACTGCTCAAAGCTTAATTTAAAAACACCAGGCCGCCTCATTTTTTCAGTAAGGCTTTCTTATGGGGAATTATTCTGAAAAAAATTAATAAGATTACAAGATTGACAAAAAATGAAAAAGTGAATAGTCTTCAATGTAGAGGTTAACATAGTGACATTGGAACAACTAAAAATGTACATGATGTTCTATTTAAAACACCGTTTTTTACAAGATGTGAGTTAGAAAAGATCAGCGCACTGTTGTAGGATCTTGTACTGTGTTGGTCTTACCTAATATTTGCAAGCATAAAACACAGTAACTGTTCTGTAACATTAAATGCTGTGCTGAGTGCCAGTGCTGACGGCGCAAATGAACAGACGGCTAGCGAATATCAAACAAAGGTAGTAATTGCAATTCAATCGTCTCGAGAACCAGAGATAATCAAACGGTCGTCGAAAAAAAAAATTACCTTTTGAACTATATGTCGCAGCGGCTTTTTGAAGCTCAACAAAGGCGCTTTTTGCCAATCTGTAACAGATAACAACACAAACAAACGAATAAGATGGGTAGTGAATAGCCCGGGACATAAAATATTGCGAAAGCGTCTAACACTTGGGATCGGAATCGATAACGTTAACTAAGCAAAAGTAAAAAACTTTGACACGACCACGGATTGCTCGTACAATTTGGGTCTAAAAGCACGAACACTGCAAGAAAACTAGTTTACGATGCACAAATAACTAAATTTCTATTCAACAGCAATGCAATATAATTACTTTAAAATGTAAATCTTCGGAGTAAAACAAGTAACGTAACTAACCATTGTAGATATCGGTCACGGACCAAGTTTCGGCAACTTCAAAAACTAATTTACAAAACAACGGTTAACTAATACATCTGGAAACAAACTAATACGTAGTTAAGCTGGAACAAATGAATCTTCGGAGTAATCGTAGGTAATGTACATTGTACATCTCAAAAAGTATGTTCTTCGACAATGATAGAAGCAGCGTAAGCAAAATCGGATGTATCGGAGCAATTTACACGATCGTTAATCTCTAAAAATTTCGTTAATACTGGCGGTTAGGAACTATATTGAAGGTGTACACAAATTCCATGTAAGTAGGTAATGTTTCAATGAAATGGGGTGCCGGTAATGTAGAAATTCATCTCTCGTGTGACGCCATTATCAATCTTGCTGAAATGGCGGGTCCAGGTAAATATGCGATGTCATTTACGTACTGCGTAGGTAAAGATAGATCATAACGTAAAAGGTAATCCAAAAGAGAAAACGATGGGAACTTAAGAGAAAAGGTTGAGGAAAAATAAGTCCTAAAAAACATAATTAAGAAAAATGCTGCGTACATACCTCGTAGTGATTATATGCAAATACAAATCCGTAAAACGCTTCAATTGAGCATAGCCACCGATAACAAGAGTAACCACTCCAAAGATGACAGCCAATACCAAAATCCCTTATACAGGTCAGTGGCGTACCGAAGAAAAATCATTTGCATCAAACCAGTCTGACGGCAGAATTCTCACTGAAAAGGAAGTACAGATAATGCGTGAGGGATGGATCTGCACGGCCTCGGGCGGCAAAACAAAGAACTATTGTAATAAGAAATCTATCTATAACACTTGGATGGCCTCTAGTGGCCAAAATAAAGAACTAGGGTAAAAACAAATTTACATCTTTAAACTGGTTTATAAAAGATGGCGTAAGAATTTAAATCGGCAAGGAAAAAACGTGACAATTGTATGCTATAAAATTAACTAAAAATGATTTGATTTCGTCAATTCTTGTCTTTTGCAATTTGTGTAACAAGTCGCTTTAACGTATTTCGTTCTCGTATTAGAACTTTCATCTTGTCACATGATTTTGTCATTTTTAAAATAGAATGGAAAACATACGGTATGTGGTAATCAGTAGCCGAAATGCTTGTGCTTCTTGCTCGAATGGTAAGTGTGAAATCTCGAATTGAACCATGTGTAATTGTGAATGGTTTGAATTACGAGATCTTGAAGGACCAATCTGTTGCTGGTAAACTCATTCATTTTTATGTAACATTATTCAGTTGTTCAATCCTAGATTGCAATTAGAGTGTCTAACTAAAATGATAAAGACATTGACCAAGACGACATTATCTCACTCGCACAAAGGTGGCTAAGTAAACCTTGAAATTCAAGAGGAAGTAAAATGATGTTGGTTGCCTTCCATTTTCTCTTTGCGCTCAAAGGACAAGGAGTGAAACTAATAAAAACTATTAAAATTTAAGTAGATTGTTTATAAAAACAAGACAATAGAGCAGGGATCCACAATTTATTCAAGTAAAACGACAATGACCCAAATTACTGTCAAGTCCATTGTAAAGTGACGAAAGCATTTACGCATTTCTTACTAAAGTTAAGTTTTGTAGGAATAATGCATATTTACCGATTGATGGCGTAACGTACCCAAGGCCGTGTGTGATGGATACCTATGCAGTATGTGAAGGGATATAGAACAAAGATTTTTTCTGAAGGTAAACACCAAGACCGACCCACCTACTCGCTTACCACTTCCCCAAGACAAACTTGTTCAGTTTACAAGTCTGGTAATCTGAAATAAACAGTGTAGAAGTTCATCAAGTAATATAAACATATTTCAATCATCCTTAAAATATGAATCTGTAAACAATAGTAGGAAATAACAAATGTTTGTAGTGTTTTTAATATCTTCGTACTTTGCTCCGTGAATAATTTTGTGTTTATCATCATAAGGACATGATATAAGGAGACGCGAACGCCGATATTTAAATTACTTACATTCCAACGCTAAAGGGAGACGCACTAAAATGCCATTAAAAATTATAAACGCTCTAGTTGAACAGTTCTGTGGTAAGACATCCAATGTTCAATTACCCTCGCAAGAACGACTTAATTCGTCCAAGTCGCTGAAGGAAAAAGAAAGTGAGACCTACTTTTGGATTATGTAAGTTTTGCATTTTTTAATTACTAATTTACTCTTGAAATTATTTATTATGCGAAGTTGCTAATATCTTCCTTATTTCTACAGGTGGCGGTGGTGAATAATGGAAAACTATGTTTCGCGAGTATTTGCCCAACGAGCCATTGTGGTTGCTGTTTATCTACGCGAGTACTTTAATTTTGTGTAGTCCCGTGTTTTTGTTGATTCTTTTATATTTGCCGCACATACCAATTATTTTAATAAGAAGGATTTGTTACATTCCATTCGAATCCATCTGACACCATCGATGGTAGTTGCGTATATCTTAGTTACCTGTAATTTTGTACCTACGTTTATTTATGAGACTAAAAAGAGAACTGACAATTGACTGTAAGTAATAATAATTACGAAGTATGTGATATATCTATAAATAAATTATGTAAGACAGATAATAAATACAATTCGTTGATAAAGTTATTTTTCCAAAATTGGTAATTCGGTGGTTGCCATGTTACCACACTATCTATATCAAAATATAAATAATACGACTTATCTTAACAGTTTACTAAGTAGTGCAAAGATTAAGTGAACTTTATCACTCAGGTACTCAGTACAGTGCAACTACACTTGGACGTTTATGGGATGGTAGGTAGTAACATTATCCCTACGAAAACGGCTACCTTTGGAATGTATTAATTACTGTAACAATATTCCATTGCACCGACAGTTGCAGATCGAGAACATAATAATTTTCTTTAAATTGAATTGACTTAAGCCATTAGAACATAGGTAGGTACTTTCACATTGTTCACCTTTTACAGTTGGCGAGCCGAGTTGCGTGATTTTTACGCTTTCTTGGGGTTGGGTACTGAGTACTTGAATAACACACGTCCAACGTGTGGGCACGGTATGGACCAACGCGTGATTCTCATCAACCAACGACCTGTACGAACAAATTACTGATAATCGGTTTTAAATGGGATCGATAAACGCAAATGTGCTTAATTTAAATAATCATTTTCATCAGGTCAAAGTCTAGTGGCTATTAACTTCATTGAGAAATTAAAATCCGATACAAATAGTTTTTTGCACACATACATCATCTACACATGAGTAAAAAAGTTCGTGACAAGGATTATCTAAAGAAAAATATTTATTATTATATCCTCCCTGTGGATTCCTTATACGACTTTCCAGTTCTAAAGTAAGTTAAAAAAGCGGTCACCGACGAAAGTGCATTTTCCCCGTACAGAATCAGTAATAACTCAGGAAGGAAGTGACCAATCCAAAAACTCTTGGCGTTCTGGTCTCTGGGCTGTACTATACCGTATAAGAAATAAACGTGGAGGACTAGTAGTGGACAAAGTGCGGACTAATAGCGTTCATTTTCCTTTTCGAAAATGCGCTAAACACGCACTAAAAGGTTAAGATTATTTCCATTATTGTTTACTATATTATGTACTAAAAATAACCTTGTCAATTACAATTGTAAACAAACAGATTTGTCTTAAATTATGTTATCAAAATACTTCGCATTTTAACAAAAAAAAGCGCAATTTGTTTGTTACCAATAAGTGATAAACATTCAGCGGTTGTCACAATTTGAGAAAGATACTCAACAACAATGACGCTTTGTTTTCATTTTTATATTACAAATAATTATCATATCTCTATAAACGTACATCAATTTCAAAACAAACAAACCAATCAACGAAAATATTCCAATTTAGAAAGAAAATTCAAAGGGCTGTAACTTTTGAACTAGTAGCCCAATCTTGGAACTGTTTGAAATTATGGATTCTACAGGCCACATTCTATAAGAAATTTTTTTTCCGGGTCGATCTGAGACAATTTTTTTTGCGGGCCTCAAAAAAGGCAGTGTATAACCTTCCTTTTTTACCAAAAATCGACTACACCAAAATTTCTCGGGAAAACACTTTTTCTTAATAATTTTGGGGCGTAGAATCCAAAACAATTCGTACTTTTTCGATTAGACTTCTCAATCAAAAGTTATGGACTAGAAACCAATTTCGAAAGAAAATTCAAAGGGCTGTAACTTTTTAACTAGTAGCCCAATCTTGGAACTGTTTGAAATTATGGATTCTACAGGCCACATTCTATAAGAAAATTTTTTTTCCGGGTCGATTTGAGACAATTTTTTTTTCGGGGCTCAAAAAAAGGCAGTGTATAACCTTCCTTTTTTACCAAAAATCGACTACACCAAAATTTCTCGGGAAAACACTTTTTTTTATTAATTTTGGTGCGTAGAATCCAAAACAATTCGTACTTTTTCGATCAGACTTCTCAATAAAAAGTTATAGACTAGAAAAGAAACCAATTTCGAAAGAAAATTCAAAGGGCTGTAACTTTTGACCTAGTAGCCCAATCTTGGAACTGTTTGAAATTATGGATTCTACAGGCCACATTCTATAAGAAAATTTTTTTCCGGGTGGATCTGAGAATTTTTTTTGAGGGACTCAAAAAAAGGCAGTGTACAACCTTCCTTTATTACCAAAAATCGAGTGCACCAAATTTCTGGGGAAAACACTTTTTCTTATTAATTTTGGTGCGTAGAATCCAAAACAATTCGTACTTTTTCGATCAGACTTCTCAATCAAAAGTTATAGACTAGAAAACAATTTCGAAAGAAAATTCAAAGGGCTGTAACTTTTGAACTAGTAGCCCAATCTTGGAACTGTTTGAAATTATGGATTCTGGATTCTACAGGCCACATTCTATAAGAAAATTTTTTTCCGGGTCGATCTGAGACAATTTTTTTGGAGGGCCTCAAAAAAAGGCAGTGTATAACCTTCCTTTTTTACCAAAAATCGACTGCACCAAAATTTCTCGGGAAAACACTTTTTCTTATTAATTTTGGTGCGTAGAATCCAAAACAATTCGTACTTTTTCGATCAGGCTTCTCAATCAAAAGTTATAGACTAGAAACCAATTTCGAAAGAAAATTCAAAGGGCTGTAACTTTTGAACTATTAGCCCAATCTTGGAACTGTTTGAAATTATGGATTCTACAGGCCACATTCTATAAGAAAATTTTTTTCCGGGTCGATCTGAGACAATTTTTTTTTCGGGCCTCAAAAAAAAGGCAGTGTATAACCTTCCTTTTTTACCAAAAATCGACTACACCAAAATTTCTCGGGAAAACACTTTTTCTTATTAATTTTGGTGCGTAGAATCCAAAACAATTCGTACTTTTTCGATCAGACTTCTCAATCAAAAGTTATAGACTAGAAACCAATTTCGAAAGAAAATTCAAAGGGCTGTAACTTTTGAACTAGTAGCCCAATCTTGGAACTGTTTGAAATTATGGATTCTACAGGCCACATTCTATAAGAAAAATTTTTTTCCGGGTCGATCTGAGACAATTTTTTTTGAGGGTCTCAAAAAAAGGCAGTACCATGAAGAATAAAACCAGTCCCCCTCCCCGAACCCCTTATTTTGACAACGGGTGTAACGAAGGGTTGGTGTTTTTAACAAGAGAAGTACATAAGAGAATGGGGTCAGAGTTCATTATTAAGATGCGACAAATCTACTGTAAATTCACCTTTCTGTAATCTACGCGTACGATCATAAGGGGGAGCATTCAGTTTGACTGGTCGTCTCTTGCACTCGAGGGTCATGTAAACAAACATCGCGGCTGCTTATCCGCGACCATCGCCAATTAATTAGGTAACTCACCGAGAGATCTCCCGCACCGAGCTGGCGCTGAGCTCTATTACACCACAGAACACTCCGATTGGTGATTGGGGTTGAATACGTCGTTCGAGATGACATCCTGAAGGGTTACGATGGGGCTCATACCTATGTGACAAAGGGCCACGCCGCCGCATCTGTATTATTTAGGATACACGGAACCCTGACTAGGACCCTCGGCCAATAGATCAACCATGGTCGATCTATGATGTCTCTCATTGCCCTCCCTGCGAACATACCTGCCGATCGAGACCCGAGAATGACGGGTTTACATAACAATATAGTTCAACAACAATGCATTGCCAGGACGATGGCCTGCCAAACTCACTAATACCTTCGTGTCTTACTTACCATCCCTTATGATCGTGACCAGAGCGCGTACGCTAACCTAACTGCCTTAACATAATCAGGGTCGTCGCGTGGTATGTAGGCGCCCCACCCCCACTCCACCCTCAAGTGCTATAAAAAATCAGTGACCCACGAGTCATTTACAAGATTTTATCCAAAACCGCTCAATGAGCACGAAAACCAAAATGCAAACTCTGAGACCAATTGGTTGTTGCATGTAAAAGTTATGCATATTTAAGTGTCGTCGTAAATACCTAAACAAGAGTAAGCACTATCAAAGGGGCGCCGTCTGATATTCCACCCTACAGTAAAATTTACCGCCCTCGACTTGTTGAAATGCGGTGTGCTTATGCGATTTACACTTAGAGTTCAGTATAGGTCTTATGGAAGGTAGAGTCACAAAAGACCCGGGTTGGAGAAACCAATTAGATCCTCTTGAAAGGCTCGGGGCAAAAATGTGGTGACACTGAGGCGGCAGATATACGTCTACCGCACATCAGGCTCTGTGGCACTGTGAAAGAGGTCATGCCGGGGGCTATTCAATAGGTGGATCGGTGGTGCAGTAACCATGGCCTCTCCGTTAACTCGGAAAAGACTAAGGTTGTTCCATTTACGAATATACGGAGAGCGGACCTTGATGGGCTCACACTTGGAGGACGTGTACTGGGTCTGACCAGGTCAGTGAAATATTTGGGAGTCATCACATACCTGACCTGGAAAGGGCACATTGAACGAATAAGCAAAAAGGTCACTGCATGTCTATGGGCATGTAAAAGGGCTTTTGACTGTACATGTGACTTAAACCCTCGACTGGTATATTGGCTTTACACTGTTGTGATAAGGCTAATAATACTGTACGGTGCACTTGTAGGGTGGCCATGCGCAGGGAAAAAAATGAGGAAGGCGCTTCTGACATCTCAGTTAGTTATGAACTGAATTGCATGAAATTCAACATGAGCATAGATTTAGCCATATAATACGCAATGCCAAGCTGTAGCCATACCCAAGAGCTCGTTAGAAAAGTGTAACTGATGTTACAAACTTTCCTTTTCTCCTACTTCTTCTGGTTGATAAAATTAGGGTGTATTATGATGTAGTTATCAATATGTCTCGGCTGCTCGTCGGTTAATAATCCTCTTCTGACCACAAAACACCGTTCTAAGGCAACGCACAAGTAGGTACTTAAACTTGTCTTTACATTAATGGGCACCTATATAAAGTTTACACTACTGATCTACAACGGATAATTCGACAACGGAATAATACTACAACGGGGCGATTATGACACAGGTAATTGTTTATAAATATACCTTGATTGTTCATGCACTAGGAGTTCTCGGCGTGCTTTTGTGGATGCTTCGATGTGAAGTCGTCTGGATCCTCCCCCAGAGTTTGGATGTAGTTGAGCGTACACAGACC